TGACTTTTAGAGTGGGAAGGAGAAAGGGAGGGAGAGAGAGAGAAACTTTGATGTGAGAGAGACACATCGTTTGGTTGCCTCCTCCATGATCCTGACCCAGGGCCAGGGGTGATCAAACCTGCAACCCAGGTATGTGCTCTTTACCAGAATCAAACTCTTGACCCTTAGGTCTTTGGGCAGATGTTCTGCCAGGGATGGGGAACGTCCAGCCTCCAGGCTGTATGAGGCCGGCAAAATCAATACCAGCTAACATCACATGCCTTACCAAATTAGCCTGACCAAATATAGCATGCTAATTTTTAAGTTGATAATTTTATAGGGCCTTCAAACGATGTTATAAATATCCAAATGGCCTTTGGCAGAAAAAAGTTTCCCAACCCCTGCTCCACTGATTATATATATGTGTATATAATTTTGTTTTTGGAGAAGGAGGAAGGAAGAGAGAGTGAAAGAGAAATATTGATGTAGGCGAGAAACATTGATTGGTTGCCTCCTGCATGAGAGAATGGAGACCGAACCCACAACCTAGGTATGTGCCCTTGACCAGAATCAAACTCCAGACCTTCCAGTGTACTGGATAATGCTCCGACCAACTGAGCCACACTGGCCAGGGCTATTTATGTTATATGACTTTAAGTTAAACATAATTATTCTCTTTGTGGTTATTTTATAGTTTCTTGATATTTAATTGAACATATAGGAACTTTTGTGAACATTTTAGATTTTTCTCTGTGATTTTATTTTTTAAACTTTGTATGTAAGATCCTTTATGTTTTTGGATGTTGATAGTTGTTTTTTATTGTATGGAGGAATTTGCTTTTACTTCAATTAGAGTAAAGCTTTTCAAGGTAAAAAATTAAGTGTTCCTTTGAAAAGAATCTGGGGTGTTGTAATGTCCTCTGAAAAATGGGAGGTAGTAGCTTCTTGGCTCCCTTTGGTGAGCTCTCAAGATCTAACCCAACCTTGTTTTAAGAATCAGTATTTTTTTTTTTTTCTTTATTGATTTTAGAAAGAGGAAGGGAGAGGGAGATAGAAACATCAATGAGAGAGAACATCGATTGGCTGCCTCCTGCATGCCCTACACTGTGGATTGGGCCCACAACCTGGGCATGTGTCCCTGACTAGGGAATCCAACCGGCGACTTCTTAGTGTATGGGTCGACGCTCAACCACTGAGCCACACTGGCCGAGCAAGAATCAGTATTTTTTTACAGCAAATTTGCACCTTTATTGAAAATGAGCATCAGTATTTTTTAATGAATGAATTAGAAAAATTTTTGCCATCATATCTGTTTTTTACCAAAATGCTTTTCTCATTACTTTTATATTTGTCTTTTTTTCTTTCTACATTGTCAGGTAATTGCCTTTAAAAAAAAAAATGATTTTGTATTTTTTTTTTACCTTGTTCTAGCATCTGAATACTGTATTTTGTTACTATTTGTATGATGTTGTTTTCCACATGTGTTGTATATTATGGATTGAGTTTGGAAAGCTCTCTCTCTTTTTTTACCCCTTGATTTACTAAGTGCCTCAGTTTCTAAAATATCTCAAAAGTATGTTTATCAGCATTTTTTTAAAAATTGATTTTAGAGAGGAATTGAGGGAGAGAGAGAAAAAAAAAAACCCATGTGAGAAAGGAACATCTATTGCCTGCCTTCCACACATGCACCACCCGGTCTCTCTTTTTTTACCCCTTGATTTACTAAGTGCCTCAGTTTCTAAAATATCTCAAAAGTGTGTTTATCAGCATTTTTTAAAAAATTGATTTTAGAGAGGAATGGAGGGAGAGAGAGAGGAAAAAAAACCATGTGAGAAAGGAACATCTATTGCCTGCCTTCCACACATGCACCAACCGACAGGGGATCAAACTTGCAGCCCAGGTAGGTGCCCTGACTGGGAATTGAACCCACTACCTTTTGGTGTACGGGATGACACTACAACCAACTGAGCCACGTGGCAGGGCTGTCATTATTTTTCAATGACAAATAAGGCAGAGATGAGGGAAGTAAAATAGAAAAAAATGAGTAACTAAAGAGAAAAATATGAGCCTTACCTCCCTTGAAATTTGATTTGAAAAAATAATCTGGAAGCTAAATTGCATGGTAGATAGTAAGTCTGTTAAGACTTCATTTCTGCTTCTTGTCTAACACTTGAAAAATTCAACATGTCTAAGCAAAGTTATCTGTCTTTTACCTTCTTTAATTCACTGTTTAATCATCATCTAAGCTCAAAAATATTTCCTTCTTTCTTCCCTCCCTCCCTCCCTCCCTTTCTCCCTTCCTTTCTTCCTCTTTCTTTTGGTTTTACTAACACAAAACCTCTCCTTTTCATTTCCACTCCGACCACCTTAACTTAGCCTCTCTTAACCTCATTATACTGCTTTAGAACCATTGCAATAGACTCATCCTTTTTTTTTTTTTTTAATTGAGTATCTGTTAAGCATCTACCATGTTACTGTGCAAAGAGTTATAGATTCAGCAGTGACCATGACAGAAATGATCTCACTTTTGGAGCTTATAAAACAGTGGGAGCAGACAGTTGTAGAACCCAGAATTACAAGTGTTCCAAGTATCATGAAAACATTACCACATGAGCATATTAACAGACAGACCTAATAGTCTAGGAGGTGAGTTCAGGGAAGTACTAGTATGTTTTATCAACCATAAAAATAATATTTTTTTAGTTTATTCTACATCCTCCACCAGATTGAGAGGTTAGTGGATATATAATAGCTTAAGTAGTTAAATAATTAAAAACAAATGCTTTTAAATTAAAAACTTGAATAAAAATTAAATGTTCACACAACTTCTGAAATAACTTTAGACAGATCCTTTCAGAATGCTAGAACAGTTTGAAAACTTGTCCTAAAGAGTCCACCTCTTCCTCCAGTGTGGGTTTCTACCTTGGGTTCTCCCAGGCCTCAATTGCTTGAGTACTGACAGAATTCCTGTTGTCTCACATTCTCTGTTTGAACCTCAGAAGTTAGGACTAGGCATTACCAGTAGGGGGGTATGTATTGTTACAAGAAAGAGGTCTTCCAGATGTGAAGTTGTGAAGTTAGAGTCTCTGTAGCTCGAGTCCCGCAGTGTATCGGTGAGTTATTAAATACAGAAGTCTTTAGGATATAATTTGAATACTATCTTTGTAAGTTTCAAAATATATAAATGTATTTGTAAATCAGAAAAAAAATCCCTTATATGTTGTCATCTACTTTTTGGTTTAGAAATGACCTCTGACCTCTTAAATTAATACATGTTTATTAAACAAATGAATATGATCTGTTCATTGTGCATCAAAGATTGGAATCTATTCTCATCTCTACTATAACATATCATAGGATCTTAGATTACTTAACCCTCTTTGCCTCAGGTTTGCTATTTTTAAAAAGGGAAAATTAATATACTTTAAATCCAGTTACAATGACTCATTACAGAGAAGGTTTTGTATTGATTTTTTTTCCTTTGTCTTATTGGGAGGATCATAGACACATGCTTTGTTTGGTCGGTCTGGCTACAGTAGATTTTACCGAAGGAAGAGTCTTATTTATTTAGTGTTTTCTTTATAGTCTGGCCCTGTAAATTACACTGTACTTTCTGTAAGGGAAGAATTTGTTTATATGTTGTTAGTATGGTAGCCAGGCAAGAGAGAACTAGGTTGCTTACACTTTTTTCTGTTGTGAGTAATTGTAATCATGCTGACTTATAAAGTTTCTCTTTATTGGTATTTTACTTTCTTGAACACATTTATTTAGCCAGAAATATTCCATGCTGCTGGAAGCATAATTTACCTCCTGTGAAAGTTTAGAAAGAACAGTTGAAGTGTGAGTGGTCACTAAATTTTCTTTCTCTTTTGCTATCAGTAAAATAGAGTTTTATTCACAAATCTTCGTCTCTTTTTACTAACTCTTTAGAGAGGCCCTTACAAAAACAAAATTTCACAGGATTTACCCTATTTTGACCCTTGTTTCTGTTGTTTACATTAGTATTATTAGATGTCTTGAAAACTTAACCGGTGTGTAGTTTTTGTAAACTTGTGTTTGCACCTCAGCTTGATATATTTTAAACCATAATTTAGATAATATTTTGTACTTTGAAAAATGTATTATTTTAACTTTTGAGATATATGTGATAGCCACTTTGCATCTAACTATATTTTAATTATTTTTGGAATGTAGATCAGGTATTCTAAATACCATTTATTTACATAATCTTGATGACTTTGAAAAGCACCTGATCTTTAACTTTAATAATGGGGGGGGGTATATTTATAATTTTCATCAAATTTGGAAAATTTGAGACTTTTTTCTTTAGTATTTTTTTCCCCCAGCATGGAAATCTCTTTGGGCTCAATGAACATTTCCTAAAATTAAAATGCATATCTACTAAAAGTGAAGAGAAACTTTATATAAGACAGTATGGTTACAATAACTGACAACAAAATAATAGGGTAAACAACCTCTTTGTTGTCTCCTTCTGGGACTCTAGTTTATATATATATATATATATATATATATATATATATATATATATATCTTTTTGATGTTATCCAATAGCTTACTGATGCTCTGTTTGATTTCTGTGTTTTTCTCTCTGTTTCATTTTGGATAGTCTTTTTCTGTATCTTCAAGATCACTAACGACTTCCCCCCACCCTCACCCCCCCACCCCGACGTGGTTAATATGGTATTAATCCCATCCAGTGTATTTTTTAATCTCAGATACATACTTTGTATGTCTAGAAGTTAATTTTTAAAATATATTCCATTTGTCTCCTCATGCTTATGCTTTTCTCTGTTCTTTACTATATTGAATGTATTTATAATAGCTGTTTAAAGTTCTTGTCTGCCAGTTCTATCATCTGTACTATTTCTGGGTCTGTTTTTATTGAGTGATATTTCCCTTTGTTTGAAGCCCTGTTAATTTCTGTTTGGATGCCAGACATTGTGATTTTACATTGTTATGTGTTGGATATATTTGTTTGTTTTCCTTTAAATATTTTTTGGATTTGTTCTAGGATACAGTTATTTGAAAATAGTGTGATTCATTCAAGGCCCGTAATGTTTTTGAAGGTCTTTTTCACTCTGGTGAGTATACAGTCCTTTGTGAGCATCACAGTTTTATTTCACTGCCCCTTTCCAGTGGTCCTTTGCCTGACCTTCATTGTTTCCTTACACACATGCACATAAATACTCAGCCAAAGGTTTAAGGGGAACCCTCTCTAGGTATCCAGAGCTCATTCTTTTTTTTTTTATCCTTACCCGAGGACATTTTTCCGTTTCTTTGCTCAGACTCAGATAGAGTGGGAGGGGGAGAGAGAGAGAGAGAGAGAAACATCGATGTGAAAGGGACACATTGAGTGGCTGCCACCTGCAGCACCCAACCATGGCCGGGGACAAACTGCAGCCGAGGTACATGCCCTTATCGGGAACTGAACCCGGGTCTCTCGGGACCACAGGCCAACGCTCTAACTGCTGAACCAAACCGGCCAGGGCCAGAGCTCATTCTTTATGCAGCTCTCTTTAGTGTTCTGCCTTGCCTTGGCCTCCCCAAAACTTTCCATTCTGTTTCCTCAACTCAAAAGAGACTGCTAGGCTCTGTTTGGGCTCCTATTCTTGTGCTATGGCCTGGAAACTCTCTAGGCAGTGAGGTGGGGACAGTTATAAGGCTTACCTCATTTATTTCTCTTTATACTACACTGTCTGTTGTCTCATGTCTAAAATCCATTGTTTCATTCATATATTTTGTCTGTTTTTCTAGTTGTTTAAGTTAGGAGGATACATTTGGCCCCTATTACACTGTGGAGACCAGAAGCTGAAATGGTCTGGTGGGAATATTTAATCTCAAAGAGGAGTCATATTTCACAGTTATGGTATCATTAGAAATCTATATATTATCTTTATGCTCAAATATAGAGTAAAAAATATTTTCTTACACTTTAGACACATTATAAGCTCTTCTGATGATTAATTCTAGCACTGTTCCCATTGAGATTTAAATGTAGGTAAAAATAAATTTTCTATTTTTCTATTAAAGAGCAGAATCTTGTATAAACTATATGTGGCTTGTATAAAACCATGCTGTTATCTACTTAGTGAATTATCTAGCTTCTCTCCAAATGTAGGATAATTTTGAATTTTATTACTTCAGCCTGTCTAGATTATAGTAGTCTTAACTGGACTTCCTTTCCTCTTGCATTATACCCTTCCTTGCTCTGAAGTCCTACAGTGGCTCCGCCTTGTCTACTGAAATGGAATAAAATTTTTCCTGTACCTAGCCTGATTTTTAGTCTTAACTCAATTTACCTTTCAGGTCTATATAGTCTTTCTCCACAATCAGTACTCTTTTCCATTTAGATTAATGTATGCATTCATTTAGCCATGCACTTGTATGTTGTGCTGGTTTCCTTTGCTTACCTCCTCAGTCAGTTAGCTTTTGCCTTGAAACAAACCATTCCAAAAGTTCAGAGGCTAGAACAATAATCATTTATTATCTATCTATTCCATGGGTGGACAGTTTGACTGGGTTCAGCTGAATGGTTCTTTTTGTTGTTGTTGTTCAGATAGAGTAGGAGGGAGAGAGAGGAAGAGAGAGAGAGACACAACAATGTGAAAGGGACACATCGAGTGGCTGCCACCCACACAACCCAACCAGGGCCGGGGACAAACTGCAACCGAGGCATGCGCCCCTAGTGGGAACCAAACCCCAGTCTCTCTGGACTGCAGGCTGATGCTCTAACCGCTGAGCAAAACTGGCCAGGGCTGAATGGTTCTTTTGATCTTGTTTGGGCTCACTTATTATGTGAAACAGCTTGGGTTTCTTCACAATCTGGATTCCTAAACCAGTAAAACAGGGCATGTTTCCAGTGCATAAGTGCTTTTCAAGCATCTGGGTCATGTTTGTTGATGTCCCATTAGTCAGAGCAAGTCACAAAGCCAACCCCAATTTCCAGGATGGAGAAAGAAACCCTTATCTCTTGCCCTGGCCGGTTTGGCTCAGCGGTTAGAGCGTCGGCCTGCGGTCCTGAGAGACCCGGGTTCGGTTCTCGCTAAGGGCGCGTACCTTGGTTGCAGTTTGTCCCTGGCCCTGGTTGGTTGTGCGGGTGGCAGCCACTCGATGTGTTCCTTTCACATCGATGTTTCTCTTTCTCTCTCTGTTCCTCTCTCTCCCTCCCACTCTACCTGAACAAAAAATGGAAAAATGTCCTCGGGTGAGGATAAAAAAAAAAAAAAAAAAAAGAAACCCTTATCTCTTGGTGTGAGTTGCAGCAAGGTCACATTGTAAAGGGAAGTTATATTGAGGAATGGAAGGAATTTGTGGCTATTTTGCAATCTTCCAAACCACTATAAATCCTCTCTGCCTCCTCTCAGAAACTTTGTATGGTCACCCTGTCCCATGCATTATACTTCTTTCTACCTTTTAACGTATTTATAATAACTTATTGAATTACTATATGTTGAATTTTCAAATTCTCAATTATTTGCTTGAGAACTACTTAATTTCATTCAGCTGTATGGGAGGTGAAAGACATTTCATTTATCCTTTTATTAATTAAAAATTTATTGAAAGGTTGTTCAATAATAACTATTATGCTAGTATTAAGAATAAAGATGAGACTTCTGGTCAAGATCCAGCGTAGGTAAACGTGGTACTTGCCTCCTCCCACAACCATATCAAAATTACAGCTAAACTAAGAACAAACATCCTTTAGGACTGCCAGAAATTGAGCTGAATGGAAGTCCTACAGCTACGAAATTAAAGAAGCCACAAGGAGACTGGTAGGAGGGGCAGAGGGGCAGACAGTCTGGTTCTACACACACGTGTGGCAGATAAAAATCAGGAGGATACCTCTGCTGAAGGTCCTCCCTGAGGAGCAAGGTGTCCCATCCCACACCAGGCGCCCAGCTCAGGCAGGGTTCCAGTGCCAGGAAGAGAAGTCCCTATACTTCTGGCTGTAAAAACCAGTGGGAATTAAGGCTGAGGGAGGCTGAGGCTGCTGGAGCCCCAGGCAGCTCCTCTTAAAGGGCCCACACACGGACTTACTGAGACCCACCCCCTCTGAGTTCCAGCACAGAGAGGGGGCAGCTTGAAAGGCACAAGAGATATACTGGGAAGAACTGAGTTGTTTGGCATCAGGGGAGGGCTGGAGAGGCAGCTTTCTCCTGGACGGACGTGCTTTCTCCTGGACAGAAGTGCTGGTAGAGGCCTTTGTTCCTTTGGTGAGCTCTTCTCCCATGAGGCCTGCAGACAGGCGCCATATCTGGGACTCCAGCAACCTGGCTCACACGGTTTGCCCTTCCCTGGTGATCCCCTGAGGCCCTGCCCCGCTGAACTTTTGGGCCCACCCAAGCTGTTTCCAAAGGCTTTAACCTAGGATTGGCCTGTTTTGGCTCCTGCCTCAGATTTTCCTAAATTCTTTCAAACAAGCAGCAACAAGCAGCATCTGGCCACAGCAAGCCCCGTACCTCTCCCTAAGTGGCCCCAGGCCTGGCACTAGAAGCAGCAAGACTTGGTTCACAGCTTGGCTTTGACTGGGCACCTCCAAGCCCAGCACAAGAAGCAGCCATCTACAGATCACTTTGTAGCTTATGCCAGGTGGCCACAGGTAGAACACAGACAATGGCTGACCTTGCCCCAAAGCCAGCACACCCAGTGGACAGCTTCAGACCACGTTGAAGCACCACCACCCAACCACCTCCACAAGTGACACACTCAAGGAATGAATTAGGGGGTACCGGGTACCAGAACCCTGCCAAAGTAAGTCTTGCTCTGTGTGGTGGAACCCTGCACAGCCGATCCTCCAAGGTATAGTCAGAGTTCAGTGGTCAGTGGGCACAGCCAGTTCTTGCAGCTGATGAGCCTGAGTAAAACCCTCCCATTGACTTGCCAGCAGCAATCAGGATTCAATTACAACAGAAGGGTGTAAAGTCCACACAAGGGGTGCACCTCGAGGGCTCAGCTGGGTGACCAGGGAGGCTGTGCCACTGGACCCTACATGACACCTACTACAACAGGCCACCCTAGGAAGCTTAGAAGACATAGCAGCTCTACCTGATACACAGAAACAAACAGGGAAGCTGCCAAAATGAGGAGACCAAGAAACATGTCCCAAATGAAAGAACAGAATGAAACTCCAGGAAAAGAACTAAACAAAATGGAGAGAAGCAATCAAAAAGATGCAGAGTTCAAAACACTGCTTATAAGGATGTTCAGTGAACTTAGTGAGAATTTCAAGGAACTTCATGAGGACTTCATGAGCTTAAAAAAGGACCAGTCAGAAATGAAGGCTGCACTAACTGAAATAAAGAATAATTTACAGGGAATCAGTAGTAGAGTAGGTGAAGTCAAGGAGCAAACCATGGATTTGGAACATAAAGAAGCAAAAAACAATCAGAACAGCAAAAAGAAAGAAGAATCAAAAAAAAAAAAAATGAAGATAGTATAAGGAGCCTGTGGGATGGCTTCAAGCATACCAACATTCACATCATGGGAGTGCTAGGAGAAGAGGGAGGACAAGAAACCTATTGGAAAAAATAATGACAGAAAACTTACCTAATTTGGTGAAGGGAACAGACATACAAGTTTAGGAAGCACAGAGAGTTCCAAACAAGATGAACCCAAAGAGGTCTACACTAAGACACATCATCATCAAAATGCAAAAGGCTAAAGACAAAGAATATTAAAAGCAACAAGAGAAAAGTAGTTACCTATTATGGAGCTCTCATAAGGCTGTTAGCTGATTTCTGAAAAGAAACTTTGCTGGTCAGAAGGGAGTGGCATAAAATATTTAAAGTGATGAAAAGCAAGGACCTACAACTAAGATTACTCTATCCTGCAAAGCTATCATTTAGAATCAATGGCCATATAAAAAAGTTTATCACCAGCAAACCAGTACTATATGAAATGTTGACAGGTCTTTGATAAAATAATATGATCAATAAAATGGCAATAGCCCTGGCTGGTTTGGCTCAGCGTTAGAGTGTCAACCTGGGTTTGGTTCCCGCTAAGGGCACATGCCTTGGTTGTGGTTTGTCCCCGGCCCCAGTGGGGTTGTGTGGGTTGCAGCCGGTCGTGTGTCTCTCTCACGTCGATGTTTCTCTCTCCCTCCCTCCCTCTCTCTCTCCCACTCTATCCGAGGATAGATGCAAAAAGTGTCCTCGGGTGAGGGGAAAAAAAGTAATAAATATCTATCGACAGTTGAATCTACAAAGAAAATGAGCAAGCAGAACAGAAACACACTCATAGAATCAGAGAACTTCTTGTTGTTCTTGGTTTCCCGATGGGGGCGGGTTGGGTGAAAAAGATGAAGAGATTAAGAAGTACAAATTGGTTAGTAGAATGATTAACCTCAAAGGGAAGGCGGGAGGTGGGGTGGAAAGAGAGACACCAAATAACTTACATGCATATATGCTTAACCAATAGACATAGACAGTAGTGGGGGAAGGTGGGGGATGGGGTGGAGGGGGGTCAAGGGGGGGTAAAAGGAGGGACATCTGTAATACATTTAACAGTAAAGATAAGTTTTTTAAAAAAATACAAAAGATGAGTAGATTTCTGCTCTTGTACTAAAAAAATTCATGGCTTAAGAGGAAGACATTGTAAATTGTGTATGTGAGTCTAAGCCTATTTCTTTACTCTGAATCTAGATATCTGCCCCATGCTCAACTCACAGGTTAACTGGCTTTCTTACATTGCACAGATGGGACAGTCTTGTGCTATTTTATCACAGTGCTAGGTGGTTGCTGCATATTCTATTTTGTGTCTTGCTTTCCCTGCCTCTGGTTTATATGACTGTATTACCTGTTACTGTTTTTTGTATAATATATAATAATCATAAAGTACGTAAAATAGATCTTTAAAGGACAATTATAAAGCCAAATGGTCAAGATCAAGAAATAGAAGATTGCCAGCATCTCAGAAGCCTCCTTGTTAACCCCCAAAGAATCCATTCTATGATTTATGTGAAAAATCATGTGCTTACTTTTTTTTATAGACTTACTACCTATGTTTGCATCCCTATTTAACATAGTTTAGTTTTGCTTATTTTTGAACTTTATATAAAAGGACTTATATTGTATATACTTTTGTTTTGCTTGATTTTGTTTGCAGATGTGACTAAGTTAAAGCTCTTGGGATGGGAAGATTGTCTTTGATTATCCAGGTGGGCTCAATGTAATCGCATATAAGAGAAAGGCATATATATTTTTTCAGAGACAAATAAGTTGTGATGATGGAAGGAAGCAGAGGTCAGAGAGATTTGAAGATGCTACACTGCCTCCTTTGAAGATGGAGGATGGGGCTATGAGCCAAAGAATGCAGGTACTTCTAGAAGCTAGAAAAGGCAAGGAAAGGTATTCTTCCCTAGAGCCTCTAGATGGAACATAGTCTTGCTGACACCTTGATTTTTAGCTCCATGGAAACTTGCTTGGACTTCTGATATCCAGAACTGTAAGATTATAAATTTGTGTTGCTTTGTCACTAGATTTATGGTCATTTGTGTGTCAGCAGTAGGAAACTAATATTTTTCCCTGGATATTTGGGTTGTTTTTGAGTTTTTGACATGAATAGTGTGGCTATGAACATTCTTTTTTGTTTGTTTGTTAATCCTTACTCGAGGATATTTTCCCATTGATTTTTAGATAGAATGAAAGGGAGGGGAATAGAGAGAGAGACAGAGAAAGAGAGAAACATCAATGTGAAAGAGACACATTGATTGGTTGCCTCCCTCACAACCCCTACCAGGGCTGGGGACCGAACTTGCAACCCAAGTATGTGTGACCAGGAATCAAACCCATGACCCATTGGTCTAAGGGGTGATGCTGTAACTACTGAGCCACGCAGGCCAGGGAACAGAAACATTTAAAAACATTTATTTTCTGTATTGATTTTAGAGAGGAAGGGAGAGGGAAAGAAAGATAGAAATATTAATGAGAGAGAACATCGATTGGCCGCCTCCTGCATGCCCCCCACTGGGGATTGAGCCCACAATCTGGGCATGTGCCCTGATGGGGAATTGAACCAGCTGCCTCTTGGTGCGTGAGTCAATGCTCAACCACTGAGCCACACAGGCCGGGCAACAGAAACATTTTTATATGAATTTGATAAGTAGTAGTTGTATAGTAGGTTTAAATGCTAGTCCTCCATGCAAACATGATCATTTCATTTCATCAACATTCAAGCAGTACAGGGGACTGTTTTGGACACTATTATGTCTGTAAATGTGACTGTTTTCCCTTCTATTGATTAAGAAGCATGCAAAATGATGAACTATGATTTTTTGAGCACAGTGTGCCAGGCACTGTGATAAATAAACACTTTACAAATATTATATGTTATCACTTAATCCTTAGATAGCCCCTGCTATTATCTCTTTTTTTAATAGATGAGGAATTTGACGCACACAGAGACATCAAGTAATGGGTCCTAGGTTACACAGCCAAGATCTGAATCTAGGTAGTCAGGTCTTAATCTCTATTTTGTGGGGAGTCCCTGGAGTTAGAAAATAGTACACACACTCTGATAGGGAGTTTTCTTCATTAAGTGCAGTTAGGTTTGCTTTATGTTTTTGGAATTCTTAATACAGTATTTTATCTATTTGCCTTTTGTGCTTCTTAGTCTCGTTTTTATTCTCTGTTTATTTCTCATTTTTCTCTCATCTTTTTATTATATTTGTATATGTGCATGTATATGCCTTTCAAATTACATACAGTTTGATGTCTTATTTTCAGCTGGTTAATTAACTTCACCAATTATCTGTTGATTAAAATGCAAAGTTCATAATTTAAAAAGTTTTTTTATGTTTTTATTGATTCTTTTAGAAAGAAAGGAAGGGAGAGATAGAAACATCGATGTGAGAAACATCGATGGGCTGCCTCCTGCACACCCCCTACTGGGATCAAGCCTGAAACTCAGGCATGTGCCCTGACCAGGAATCAAACCAGCATTTCACAGTCCATGGGACAGTGCTCAATTCACTGACCTACACTGGCCAGGCCATAGTTTTTTTTTTTATCTTGGCAGAGAATATAATGATTATGATACGGTCTTCATCTTCACAGAGTTTGTAATCTAGGGTATTGTCAGTGTTTACTTACTGATTTGCCATCTATTTTCTTATCAATCTTTTTCTACCTAGCAAATGTTTCAAATGATTTTTACCACGTTTGTTATTTTACAAATTGAATCTTCATTTAGTATGCTCTGTTCATATTTTGATCTTTGGGTCTGGTTTGCCAACAATTCTAGATTTAGAATCATTGTCTGAATTGGTGCGGCAGCCATTTATATCAATTTTTCAGATATAATTTGTGATGTGGAACCAAAAAGAACCTGTGCTTCAGGTACAGCTTTGAGATACTATTACCCCATACCAACAAAGCCTGGTGTGTTAGTAATCTGTTGTTGCATAACACATTACCCAAAACTTGTGTTTTTAAACAATACCATTTAATAATTTCAGTGTCTGAGGATCAGGATTTGGGATGTGCCTCATCTAGGTAGTCTATTTCAGGGTCAGTCACAGGCTGCAATCAAAGTAGGCTGTAGTCATCACAAGGCTCATCTAGGGAAGGATCCATTTCCAAGCTCACTCCAGTGATTGCTGGATTGATTAATTTTGTTGTGGGTGGTTGGACTGAGTGCCTCGGGTCCCTGCTAGATCTTGGTATCTATTAAAAGTGGAATCCCTGGCCTGTGTGGCTCACTGGTTGAGCATCGACCCATGCATCAGAGGTTGCCAGTTTGATTCCTGGTCAGGGCACATGCCCATGTTGTGGGCATGGTCCCCAGTGGGGGTCAGGCAGGAGGCAGCCAATCGATGTTCTCTCTCATCAAGATTTCTATCTCTCTCTCCCTTTCCCTTCCTCTCTCTCTAAAATCAATAAAGAAAAAAATATTTTAACAACAAAAAAGTGGAATCAATTCTGCTAGCAGAGGCTGCCCTCAGTTCTTTGCCACGTGGCAGCTCGCTTCATCAGAGCAAGCAAGTAGGAAGAGTCAAAGAAAGAGAATGTGAGCACTGTCAGTCTTCTATAATACATCTGGGAAGTGACATCCTATCACTTGCTGTATTGTATTTATTAGAGGCAAGTCACTCAAGAGGAGAGGACCAATAACACAAAATGGGGTTAATGGGGAGCCATTTTAGAAGCAGTCTAGTACAGCTTAGTAGCTTATAGGCTTCTTTTCCCCTAGGGTTCATTTCCTAATTGAAACAGGTGTATTTTTATTTTTTTTTTACCAATGATGGATACCATTTATTTAAAACTCTAAAACATTTGCATATGGAATTAACCCTTGAATAACACAGGTTTGAAAAGAACAGGTGTATTTTTAGATTTACTTGAGTGTTCTGAAGGATTTTACCCGGATACCACTTTGTTCCATAATCTTTCTTTCTTTTTCCCCCATCCCTCTCTCCCTTCCTTTCACTTTCTCTAAAAATCAATGGAAAAGATATCCTCAGGTGAGGATCAGTCAATCAATCAATAAAAAGTTCTGGAGATGGCCCTGGCTGGTTTGGCTCAGCGGTTAGAGCGTCAGCCTGTGGTCCAGAGAGATCCAGGTTCGGTTTCCACTAAGGGCGCATACCTCAGTTGCAGTTTGTCCCTGGCCCTGGTTGGGTCGTGGGGGTGGCAGCCACTCAATGTGTCCCTTTCATGTCGATGTTTCTCTCTTCCTCTCAATCTGAACAAAAAATGGAAAAATGTCCTTGGGTGAGGATAAAAAAAAAAAAAAAAAATATGTTACATGAACACAATGGAATACTATGCAGCTGTAAGCAAGAAAGATCTCTTACCCTTTGAGATGGCATGGAAGGACCTGGAGAATATTATGCTAAGCGAAACAAACCAAGCAGAGAAAGATAAATATCAAATGATCTCATTTATTTGTGGAATATAATGAACTAAACAAACTGCTGAACAAAATTAACCCAGAGACATAGAGGTGGGGTACAGACTGACAAGCCTCAGAGGAGGGGGATTTGGGGGGGAAGAGATAAACCACAGAACTTACATGCATTTATGCATGACCAATGAACATAGACAACAAAGCTGGGGATGGGGCAAGGGGGAAGGGGAGGAGGGTGTCAATGGGGGAAAAATGAGAAACATCTGTAACAAAAACAAATTAATAAAAAATAAGTTAATTAAAATGATAAATCTTATGTATATTTTTAACAAAGTTAAAAAAGTTTAAATTTTAAATATTTTTCAAATATGTTTTTATTGATTTTTTTTTTTAGAGAGAGAGGAAGGGAGAGATAGAAACATTGAAATGAGAAACATCGATTGGCTGTCTCCTGCATGCTCCTTACTAGGGATTGAGCCTGAAACCCAGGCATGTGCCCTGACTGGGAATCGAACCAGGACTTCTCAGTCCATGGGATGATGCTTAATCCACTGAACCACACCAGCCAGGTGAAAAGGTTTAAATTTTAAATAAGACTACTAGGTACCCTTCAGATATACCTACAATACCAGTACTTTTAACTATTTCACTTTATTTAGTTAGTTATTTAATTTTTTTAAGAGAACAAATTCATTTTATTTATTTACTCTTCAATAAGTTTAAATTCTTGAGAGTTACAGCATTACACAGATTCTGTGACCGATGGTCTCAGCAGGAAGGTTGCTTTGGAATGTAGCACAAACCATGCCCCTGTTTTTATGAGCACGTGTTACCTTTTCCTAGATTACTCTGGATTTATGCCACCAGGAGTCACTGTGTTGTTTTTGGTTTGTACACATAAGCATATCTCTTGCCTAGATAAAATTCAGTTTCATCTTGAACATAATGCATCTCCAGTTTTAAGAAGAGCTGTGTGCTCTCTCTGGTTCTGGAGATTCCACGTATAGCCAACAAAAATGGCCTTGGATCACAGCCTTCTGGACATATTTGTTGTTATAGAAGTCCTGTTCCTAGCAGGCCTCCACAGGCTCCAAGATCTATCTCACTTTAAATGACCAGTGGAAACCAAATAACTGATATACATATATGTATAACCAATGGACTCAGACAACAGTGCAGTGAAGGCAAGGGAGCGGGAACGGGGGTGGGGGGGTGGGGGGAGAAACATTGATGTGAGAGAGATATTGATTGGTTACCTTCCGCATGTGCCCCAACAAGGGCCAGGGATCCAACCTGCAACCCAGGTTCGTGCCCTTGATTGGGAATCGAACCGGAGACCCTTTGGTCCATGGACCGACATTCTAACCATTGAGCCACACCGGCCAGGTACATCTCCAGAGGTTTTAATCTTTCCAAAATGTAACTCCATACTCAATAAAACCCTATATCCCTATTATACACTCTTACCT